AAGGTCTCTGTCCACATGTTGTTTGATTATAGATCAGCTCTAGCTTCTATATTAATACTGTGAAAGTATCAAAGCCTCAGTCCACAGAGAAATGCACACAGCCTGTATTCAGAAACTGAGCCTTAAAACCAGCCGTCAGGACTTCCTGTAACTTTGTGATGTCACAACAAAGCAGTCGCTGCTCTCAGCCATGCCCCAAGCCCCGCCCACTATCCAAACCTTGCAGGTTTTGGTTTTTCTGCGTGTTTACCTGAAATCTGCTATATTTTTATTCAGTCACTCAGTCAGCCAATCAGGCTCAGAGCCTCCTCTCCTCTGATTGGCTCACTGACCTGTTGTTGCTAGAGCTCCTGAGAGAAGCCTGAGAGAGGAGATGTAAAACTACACTGAGATGGTTTTTGGTTCTTAAAACCACAAATATATCTTCTTATGGATCAACACTTCAGATAAAACACAGGAAAAGTGTAAAATATGGGACATTTAATGTGATGAAATTGCATTACCAGCACCATTGCTGTAACAGTAAAGTTACCTCAAAGAAAGGACATGGCATATTTACTGGTTTAAGGGGGTTTTACTTAAAAACATCATCAGGTGCAGGTAAAGGTGACATCCAATACTGGTCTGATAATAAAGATATTCAGTTCACTGAATCATGTATGCACACTGCTGGATGTGGATGAGGATCAATACTGTCAAAGCAGTACTCAACCTCATACATTTTAACATATAAACTACAGTTGAGTGTTTTTGCTGCAGCTTGAATCACATTTTAATATGTAATGAAATTTGGTACGCTGAGTTAGAAATCACCTCTTCTTCTGACCTTCACTGGAAACACGTCATAGACAATCATTTCTGACTACAATTAATAACTGAGCGTGACACACTAGGGCCAAAATCTGATGACCTGTGTTAAGTTTTCTGATTATATGACTCAGAGAATTTACTGGCTTCTTTTGTCAGGTATGCACCACATCCTAAAACTGATCGGAGTACCATCAGCCAAAACTACCAAGAAAAACATTTGTCCTGTTGTCATGGGTGTCCAGTGACACAACGAGCCTAATTTGGTAATGACTAGATTGAGGGTTAAGGAGAACAAAATCCCAAATGGTGGAAAAGAATTGCAGAAACTTCATAGAATAGAATACTCTAACAGAATATTTCTTATTCTAACCTGTCAGGTTTTAGGGAACCTTTTGTAGCAGGGCACATGGGTAAACTGGTTAATACTAAATCTGAATGAGCACTTTTGGGAATCTGGTAATAGGTGTAAATATAACATAGGTTCACATAGCTATCCCAGTATACCTTTTAATGCAACTGTATAACCTGGTTACTCATGTAGTAATGGCAGACAGAGTAGATGAGCAGTGGGTAAGGATTCAGATCTACAGTATCTGGATTGTTTGGCTGCCGTGGGTTTCATGGTTTCTGACACTGAGACGTTTATGGAAGAAGAAGAAGAAATACAGAAACAACAACAAGCACGAGCAGACAGCGACTGATAACAGCAAAAACAACAGGCGCTTCAACAGTAAATTCTCAAACCTGCAGGGATTTCGTCGGTCAAACAAATAGTAGCATCTCTGCACATGCCTGCTGTTTATCCCACTGACTATGCTGTGATACTTTATACCAACAAACAACTGGCTTAGCTGGCTTCACAAAACCGGGCCAACATCAATACTGGACACTTGAAAAGTCAGAAACTTTGCATTACCATTCATTTGCTTAAAATGATATCAGTAGTGCTTTGTCTTGGCGTCCGTGCAGCCCTGTATCTGCTGCATTTGTTTTTCCCACTGGTCAAATAACGTCAGAGAAACAAACCGTTTGACGCTGCGGGAGAAGTTGTCAGCGCGCTCAAGACTCGCCGCGGTGGAGCTGTGAGGCCATCAACCCCTCTGCCTGCCCGCCCGCCCGCTCGCCGGGTAACAATAGACAGCATACAACTCGGGCTCTTTCCTCACACCAAACCAGATACACAGGAAAGTCTAATGTTCATTTGATGACTTGGCTAAACAAAACATGTTTATACTTCCTTCCCCTGTTGCTAGGCCTCACCTTGAATGCACTTCTCTACTGCTTTTCCAGCTCTGAGGTGCCTTTATTAACATTAATCACCCCTCCCTTTAACTAAATTGGGGGGCTGTTAATCTAAGTGTATTTTAATGGAACACTTCAGAAGCAACTCCCTCAATTACATCAACTCTTTCCAGCATGGTCCCTATTAAAAACAACCTTTCATTTAGGGCGGGGGAACCCACAGACAGAGCGAGAAACAGAGAGAATTAAGGGAGCCTTGGCTAATCAGTTTCACCTGCCAAAGAGAAAGCATGCACCACAGACTGCCGTTTATAAGTATATTTTATATCAGACACATGGCTCTGTTTATAAAACATTAAGCTACAATTTTACATTATGGGTACTTATCCTGAGTTTGGGGGAAATTTGGGGCCCTCCCTGGTTGTGTGTTGCTAAATGGCCCCGTTGATGTCATGGAGGTTAAGCTCACTCAGCCTCTCAGTCCGTTTGAATGAATTTCCTCCGTAACTCTAATTCACACAAACAACCGCCTACAATCAAAGACAGCACTTAGGAAGCTGGGAGCAGAACATCTGCCAGCCTTTGAGAATCTAAACAAGAGTTGGACACCGCCGGGCTTTGAATGGGCCGATGGAGATTTGGCTGCTCGAGCCGTTGTAGGATGTGTTTGTAATTGTGCTGGAAAAAAAAAAAAAGACGATTTGGAACAAATCACAGTTTGCTTTGAAAAATGTGTGAAGGAAATGCTTTAGCGAGATAGGATTACCTTTGTTTTGGTTTTGTTTAGTATGTTTTGGTTTGAAGAAGGAATGTTCACATGTCATGTGCATCACGTACCAAACAGCAGCTAGAAACAGATGCTAGCTGGTGAACACAGTGGAGCAGTGAGCAGCTAAAAACCCGGGTATTCCTCTCAGAGGTTGGCGGAGACCAAAAACAGAGCTAAAAGGAGACAGTGAATATCAAATTCATCAGGTGCTCGCAAACACGGCGTCAAATGAAGAGTAATGTCGCTCCGTAACTGCTGGATGTGTAAACAAATAAATAAATAAAGGTGAAGAAAACAACTTGTCGCTGCTGTGCTCCACTTTCAGCTGCTGCTAGGCCTAACAAAGCAACAGTTAGCCTACTCTGGACACGCTAACATTACTGTGTCTCAGTCAAACAGTACTCAGCAACAGTTGCAGTAACAGGATCAACACGTGGTCAAGCAGTGACCTGTGTCAAAGTGGAAAAGTTAGGAAAGGTTAGACTTCTCTGTCTGGACGACCCTGCGTTGTTGCTGGAGCTCACTGCATGCGACGGTGCTGTGTTATTTCACGCAGTACTAAAGGACAACACTGGTGATATTCTATATTCTTGTTATTGGAAATAAATCCAATGAAAACCCAACAATGTGTTAGTCTGTCTCGCAATACTTTCATTCTTCCCTAACCTGTGTGTGGCACTCAGCCCCTGGCCCATTCATTCTTACTGAAGACATAAATCTTTCAAAAACAGTCGTGAATATATACTTTCATTTAAAAAAAAAAAAAAAAAAAAAAAGGCTAAAGAAAGAATGTAGAAAATGAGAAGCTTTATCCTTTAAACAGGCAGCTTTAGTGATTTAGTGAGTTATGAATTGATCAGCACAGTTGGTGCTATGTAGCAAGTCCTCTACAAGTAGTTGGACTTTGAGTGAGGTCTATAAATCATTGTTAGGATGGGAAGAGTTTCACACAGGCAGTAGGGGGTAGAGTAATCACTAATGGAGCGTATCTGTAACTTTAGTCCGGTCCAGATCTGCCATGTGTTTAATTTTTATGAACTGCAAACAGCTAAATCAGTGTCTGGGCTTTCGAAGATATTTGAAATTGCTGGTGACTATTTCTTGTTTGAAAGGACCGTCTGCTGAAATTGCACTTGAGAGTGGTGTTCACACCACCAAAGCGTGATCCAACCCAGACTCTTGTCCAGTTGCCACTTTTTCTTCAAACTTGCAGCCAGGCTGTGCTGTTATTGTTCGAAGACGTCAATGTCAATTGCACAAGTTCAGTACGACAGATTGCACTTTGTTGGTGGGAGGGCAGCTCATGAAGGGCGCACACACATATCTGCAATTTCAGAGACTGATTACAGTGAACACAGTCTACACATTATTAAAAGGGCTCAGTCTTTTGGTATTCTGTACAAGTCTGACTCAGGGCAGACCTACAAGGCTTTGTATAATGTTGGATCCCTCTGATAAATTGGCCATCAAGCTAAAGTTGATGAGCAATTTGCTTGAAGGAATGCATATTTCTGATGTGAGCTTACATATCAGAAATGTGGGCATTTCTGAAACATAAACTGAATTCCAGTTGGTTGACTGTCTCACTGTCATTTTCCTTTATTATCTACGGGAGTATAAACAAAAAGGTGCTTATAAGGTGTAAAATCAATGTCCATTCAGTGAAAATGAGATAAGCCTTTTGTTGTTTGCTTTGCTTTAAAGAGGCTATTTGTACATTTTCTCTGCTGCCGAACACAGATTTTTGTGCTGGGAGCAGGTGGTGGTGATTGTTACTTGACAAGAGCTTCAGCCGTCATTGTGTTTACAATACAGGAGGTTATAATCCCTCTGAGCAGCGCTACGTCTTCAGGGCAGACTGGAGGCTTCAGTGAGTCGCTAATGGAAAGTGACAAGACGGGCCGGGGCTAGCTGGTTAGCATGCTAACTTCAGTAGAAGAAAAGACGTGATAGAGACAAGCTCTTGGTGAGTGAAGAAATTAAGTTTGATGCTGAACTCACAACATTTCTTCTAGACTGGTGAGTAAACAGCTGTTGATATTAATCTTAGCTTTGTAGCAAGAGCAAAACTTACAAACAGCTCCTCTAAAAACCGGCAGAGAGACTGGCATTTTATTTTTAAGGCAGGAAAAACTATAAATGCCTGACCAGAAGAACGGAGTTGAATGATAAACGGTACCTGGGTCCGAGCTCATCCTCACACCTCCAGGTGAATTCTCCGAAGCTCTCGTAGCGCTGGTTGTAGTGGTAGAGCACGCGGTGCAGCGTGGGAGCGCCCAGGTCCATCAGGGTGTTGTAGGCCGTCTGCTGCTCCTTCCCGCTGGTGTAGCCATTGAACAGGTTATAGATCTTATCGGCTATTTCTGGAAGGATGAAAATAATCAGAGGTCAACACTAACTTCAGGCAGCATCATGGCAGCTGCAAATGTCAGAGCATGTGAAGTAATGAGGGATGTCAGCAATCAGCACACAGCTTACTAATGTTTACCAAACTGACTGCTGGTGCTACTTGATACCAAACAATCCTCCAGGAAGAGGGAGGGAGGAAGAAGATTTAAATGTTGGTGACTCATCTTTCGCTTCTTTGCTGCTGTTTTGGAGACACAGTTAAGGTTTGATGTGTTTCTTCCCTTGGGTGAAGAACTTTTCCCTCCAGTATTTACTCCACATCAAAATTTCTGTGGACAATTAGGGCAAATCAGTCCTGTAGCCAGAGGGTAACTTCAGTGATGGGCATCTGTTTTTCACAGGCCCCCTTTTTTTTGTGTTGAATGATAATGGGAGATAATGGAAATGAAGGGTTTATTAGTGGAGATGTGATGCTCTTTCCCTCTTTCAACTGCATTTTAGGATAATACAACAGATGTCATTTTATATGTGTATCTTGGTATCATTACCATTTTAAAATGAATAAATCATTAATATGTCCTTCTAAAACGCAAACTGGATGGATCTTTGCTTCAAACAGGAAATGTTTTTTTCACAGGTCGTCAGGTCAGGAACTCATCCACCTGTCACGGTCTGGTCTGGTTAACGATGACAATAAAATCTGGTCAAAACAGAGCCACAGAGTGGAAATATTGCATTTCACACCATTCCCACTTCCAGGTGTTAAAATTAAAAGCAGGAGCCCAAGTTGTGTCATACTTCAGTGGCTGGCACATCTTGTACTGGTTGATTCAAATCAGCAGCAAGAGCCACAATAATGTATTTGCTATGAACCTGTCACTGGTGCAGAAGGTGGCGAAAGACTTCAGCTCTGAACCTTCTTTAATGTTTTTACCATTAAAGAGGAGTGGCTGGAATAACACATTTTTTGTCTGTGCCTTCGGGTAATTGTAGCGTCTCCATATGGTCGGTGGCATGGGCCTTATTCCTCCACCCCCACCCCCGCCCCTGCCCCTCCCACCCACAGGTCAAGTCTTTGGCGCCAAACTTTCAGTTTTATTAATGAATATATATTTATTATATCAAAAGTGAAAACTTTTTTGACAAATTAAATGAACAAAAATAGGGAAAGAAAAAAAAAATGCACCCAGTTGCCTAAAGTCACATTTGGGGAAGTTGTATGCTTGTTGGTTTTTGTGCTTGACCTTTGACCTACAAGGTTTGATGCGTCACCATTATGTCAAGATAAGCATGTAATGAATATGTTTCAGTGAGAGCAGGCAACTGTCAGACTGCAATTCAAACAGAAATCTGTCAAGGCCTCCTCCAGCTCCACTAATAGAGGAGGAACCAAAGTCACCCAGCGAGGCCGATTCTGAAGAGGAGTGCTTTACAGAAGAAAGGCCCAGGTGGTTCAGCTAGTGTTCAAGAGGGACTTAACCCGCACATGCACAACTGAGTGGAAGGACACGATTCTAAGGTTCAGCACCAACACTCGCCGCCTGCAACTCTACTACAGGTAAATCATATGAGTTTAATTCCCTTCACGCAGGCCGTAGAGTTCATGATTATTAGGCAAAGAGATTTATGGTTCTGCCAGAATTTATTCAATAAGAGTGGCTTATGTCGTCTATTTCAAATGATGTTCTCGTGGCATGCACAGCGCAGTGTGTGTCTGTGTGTGGGAAAATTGGAACTGTGTTGGTTGTTGAATGCCCCCTGGTTAGGTCTGTTCTACTGGTGAGCTTGAGTCTCCACAAACAGCTCTGCTCCAGAGAGGAGACGAGTATATCACTCGCTCTATGAACTGCTCTTTAAAGCTCCATATATTCCTCTTCCCCTGTGTTTTATTTGAAGTGTTGATCCATAAGAAGAAATATTTGTGGTTTTAAGAACCAAAAACCATCTCAGTGTAGTTTTACATCTCCTCTCTCAGGCTTCTCTCTGGAGCTCCAGTAACAACAGGTCGGTGAGCCAATCAGAAGAGAGGAGGCTCTGAGCCTCTCTTCTGATCTGAGTGATCAAATAAAAATGTACCAGATTTCAGGTAAAACACTCAGAGAAACCAAATCCTGCAAGGTTGGATGGTGGGTCCAGGTGGGCGGGGCTTGGGGACATGGCTGAGAGCGGTGACTGCTTTGTTGTGACATCACAAAGTTCCAGAAGTCCTGACGGCTGGTTTTAAGGCTCAGTTTGTGAATACAGGCTGTGTGCATTTCTCTGTAGACTGAGGCTTTGATACTTTCACAGTATTAATATAGAAGCTAGAGCTGATCTATAATAAAAAAAAGACAGACATCTACCTTTATACTTAATGGCACCTTTTTACGTCTGTTTTGAGGTCTTGAAACATAACTGCAACAGAAAATACAAATGTCTGTCCTGTAAATTAACTAAAGCCAAATTAGATTTGATTATTAGAACATAAAGAAAATTCAACTCATCAATTTTGTTTAGATTTTACATTTACTCATTTGATGCTTTTATCCAAAGTGACTTACAGGGGAGGGACATCACAATTTGACATGTATTTTTGTTAAAATAATATCTGTCACACAAAGCATGAGCATAACTGTGAACGACGCACAATGTGAAAACTTTCCTTTTTCTTTGTATCACTGTGACCTCAAGATGAATCTCTGTGAGCCACCTGCGATCAGGGCTGAAAGATGAGTCACCTCTCTGACTTAAGTCTGTGTCTCTTTCCTCACCTTGTGCTTTGACGTCATCCACAGTTGGACATGGAGTTTTGATGGTGACCTCACTTGGACTGGAACGGCGCCCTGTGTTGTCTACTGCCCATAGCCGGAACCTGCACGCATAAACACACAGACACACACACACAGACACACAGACACACACACACACACACACACACACACACACACAAATACACATCAACTCTGCTGCTGATTTTGAGTGATAAACTGTTTTTCAGTCAAAATGAATCTGCTGAACCAACATTATATCAGCGGCAGCAAACATCTGGCAGCTGCTGCTGTTCCCGCTGCTGCTGAATCAATTAAAAGACTTCCCTCGGTGGAGATGAGAGCCTGCGTTATCAATACAGAGCGTTCACTGGTGCCAGACTGACAATAAGCACATCTCTACAGAACTGATCAGCTGTCATTTCATTGAATGGATATCTCCACCTAGTGGCCAAAATGCAACTTGCATCCACCTGCAGCGTCAAACAAAGAGGCAGCCATTCAAACGGTAGCAGAAGATAGAGCGTGCAAGAAAAGAACATTTTATCATCAGCCTGGAGAGATTTAGAGTTTTATTCAAATTATAGTTACAGATGAAAAGATGAATGGATCACACATATGGATATTTCAGTGAAAACAGCAACAGACTTTAAACATTTAAACCTTTCAAACTCATCTTCAGAGACTGAACTTTGGATGCAGTTGCAGAGAATCTTTTCTGTGTTGCCAGAATGTACAAAAACTCTCACCCCGCCATATATTTTCCCCCTCACAAGGCGCCAATCTCAAGCTTAATACAGACTGTGTCTATATGAAGGGTGTGCACTGCCCTGAAGGGAGAGACGAGGCCTCGGCTCGGGGAGATGAATGAGCTGCCAGACGGGATAGAGAGAGCAGAAGCCCGACTGAAGCTGGGATTAAAAGGGCATGTGTAGCTGCTCACTCAGCCCACATACATCAAAACTGTTTGAAGAAGCTCTGTCCACGGGCTTCTTGCCCTTTTTCTATTTGCTTTTGTTGTGCTCAAACTCTCTCATCCCCTCTGTACCTCACTCTTGATCTTTTTTCTTTTTCTTTCCCCTCACTCTTTTCCTGCTTTTCTTTCTTTTTCTGCCCTAAAACTTTTCCCGTGCTTCTTTTAGCTCTTTTTTTTTTCCGCTCCCACTCCTGCATTTCTTTCAATCCACCTTACTCTTCCTCTGTGATGTGCGTGTGTGTGTGTGTGTGTGTGTGTGTGGCTTCATTCCTGGCAAGCTGTTTGTGAGATAAGTGTCAGCATGTGTGTGAGAGCATCTGAGTATCCGGTGTGTGAGAATACGTGTGTGTGCTAAGAGGAAAAAAAAAACAAAAAAACCCACATTTGTTCACTACATCACACTGTTAAACTTCTCTTCTCTGCAGGTGTAAACATACACAGACACAATACAGAACTATCTGAACACAATATGGAAAGAAAGAGTTTTTGTTTATTGTCTTCGTCTTTTTTTTTTTTATAATAAAAATTTACTTCAGAGGTCAATTATTTTTTTCCAGCCCTGACTGGAAGCAAAAATACCCAGAAAATGAACCTTAATTATCCTGATTCAAATTCTTAAAGACTTTAAAAATAAACCCTGAATTACCTGGGTCAGTAAAGGTATCACACCCAACACAGTATGTGAGGACATCGCTAACTTAGTCTGTATGTGACCTCCTGAGCTCTTGAAGAATATTGAATTACTTAGAATAACTAAAGCCCCGGACACTGCAGGGTAAACCCAGCCTCAAGCGTTTTGGTTGACACCAATATGCTACAATTATGATATGCTAACGTACATGTGTATCTGTGCTGTGCAGGATATGAAATATTTTTACCTTTGGCAGAATCCCTTGAAAGATGGTAATCACGTCAAACTTTACACATACAGTAGAAACTTACAGGGGCAGAGTTACAGAGGAAGATCAATGTCAAACTTCTGAGAGTGTCTGTTTTTATATATATATATATATTTTTTTTACATTTAACATTCATTAAAAAAAATCCAGCTGTCAAATGTCACAAAGCCGGTGTTGCCAACTGCTTTCAAAGACAAATAACTGCGACGTTGTCTGACAAAATCCCCAAACACACAAGTTAAAGACAAAGTCTGTGCGGCGACTTTGTGTATATTTACATGTAAAATGATCGCTCAGAGAGGAAATTAGAAGCAACAGAATACGTTGCTCTCACACGGCGCACAGCCGGCACACGCACAGCTCGTTCATGTTCATGTCAGCTGCTGTGTGAACTGAACGTACTGCTCTGCCTCTGTGGCGCCTCTCCGCCACACTGCAGCAACTCTCTTCTCTGGACAGTGACTGAGGTTTGTTGCTAGCTCTGTTGCTAGGTGATTTTATGAAAAAAAAAAAAAGTCGCTAAATCTAGCAACTCTGCTTAAAACTACAATGTGCTTCAAATTGAAATTGCTTTGTTTTTCTATTTCTACACGTGTTAAAAACATAAATTTGACGCTTTGGAAATGTTGGAATTCACCTTCCAACTTCAGTTGGGCTGAATAAATTATGAATGCACAGAAATCGGGATACAACTTCTGAGTGCACAAACAGTCCGGCAGTCAAATTTGCATGACTATAGCAAGGCACAGTTTTGCTTTAGCAGTCTAGTGACTGGTTCAATCATCAGTTTAGTTTACATGTTCAGGAGAAAAACAGGAAAGTAACTTACATATATGTGGTGTCAGGCTCCAGGCAGCGAATGATCATACTGACAGAAGAGGACAGGAGGTTGGGGATGTCCCCTAACATCACACACGGAGACCTGGCCCCCGACAAGATGTCATCCACAAAGCTCAGGAGGGTTTCTGCAGCAGAGAGAAAGACGGTGGGATACTGAGAAGGCACAAATCGCACAAGGAGTTCCTGTAGAATAAGAATCTGTTGTTCAGGGTTGTAAATGATTTCATCCTAAAAAAAAAATGTTGATTTTTAACCTCATAACTGCTTTCTGGGGTCTGGATTTTCTCTTTTTAGATCACTGCAGTTCATCAGATCAGACGGTCGGGCAATTGTATAAATAGTACACGACTTAGTGAATTCAAGTTTATACTTGTACTATACTATAATTATTCTAATTTCCTTTGAGGTAAGATGAGGACAGTTCTGCTTCGCCAGGGCTAAATGAAATATATGAAACACAGGAACATGCCTGTTGTTTGAAAGGGCCGATTAATGTAACTTGACATTAGACATGGCTCTCTGCTCTGTGTAAACAGACATCAAATGTAAAACAGATGAGCATCGCTTTGCACTACCACAACACACACTGTAAGTGCAGCGTGTACCTGTAGAGTCTATGGAAGGAACATCACCCCCTGTCTTACAGAAATCTAAAAAGTGATTTGTTTTTAATTTATTTATATGTATAACAATGAGATTCTGCTGACTAACTGATCAGATACAGGCAAGGTCGGATGCATTAGACATCAGTGATCTGAGCCATTAACTTCCATTTATTCTGAGAAAAGGCAAAAACAACAGCTGATCCACCTCGACACACGCAGTCCATTCACAGCCTTCAACTGTGCTGTTGCAGATGGAAGTGGAAGGGCACCTTGACAGTAGATGCTGAGGGAGAAGAGTGTTTCTCAGTCACTGTCCGCCCACCTTTCACCAGCAGATTTAAAACACAGACTGTTCAGCTAAAAGTTTTCCTTCACCTCCGGGTCAACATCCCCCGATTTTTGCATAATCCTTGTGTGCACTGTTTTGATGCCTGAAAGAGTTTCAACATCTCCAAGGTTATGAAAATAACACAAACACCCACATGAAGTAGGTTTCAAAACCTACAAAAAATCCCAATAAAATGGAGGTGATCTGAAACTCTTGCATAAACAAAATCACAATTTACTATTTTTAGTTTACATGTGGCACATGATTAAACTAGCGGCTTTGTGATTGTATGTCTCCACCAACCAGTTACAGTTACAGAGTTACAGCATTGAATAATGGCCAGAAGTGTTTTTGCAGAACATTATGATGTCACAGTGACCTTTGACCATTAGGATATGAACTGTCATCACTTAACTTTATCCTTATAGACATTTGTGTTACATTGTGTCATAATTACTGTATGAATATGTGACCTTGACCGTTGACCACCAAAATCTAATCAGTTCATCCGTGAGACCAAGTGAACATTTGTGCCAAATTTGAAGAGATTACTGTAACTGAGATATTGCTTTCAGGAGCAGGAGACGGACGGACAGAACCGAGAACACAACACCTCCGGCGCTGGCTGTCGCCGACACGGTGACATAAAAAAGCAAAGAATCGTTAGGAGTTTTTCTTACAGCATTATCAACCCATGTCAAAACACTGTAAAATAAATGATTTGAAATTAATTTGCAATTACATGTCAACTGTAGTTTTGTATTTTTTTTATTTTGAAAATCTGCAGCAGACAGAACCGATATAATCAGGGATAATAACACCTGTATTCACCTGAGCCTCTCACATGAAAGAGAAGAAACCCTCTGACCTCCTCCTCCTCCTCCTCCTCCTCCTCAGGGCTCCTTTCCTGCTGCTCAGGCTGCTTGTGACACACGCAGTTAGCTATGTTTTCCCAGCTGGCACTGCGTACGTCAAAAGGGCATTTGGCCACCGGGGTGTGTGTTTCACTGTAAAGAGGAAAAACCCTCTGCTTGGAAAAGCCAAGACTGTGTGTGTGTGTGTGTGTGTGTGTGTGTGTGTGTGTGTGTGAAGGTGTGTGAAGTGATGGGTGCTCTGAGGTGGTCATCTGTGACCCTCCTCAGTACAAGCAGTGCCTGTCTGTGTGTATTTATACAATATGTGTGTGTGAAGTGATGGACGCCCAACAGTGATCACCTGGGCCTTTCTTCTACAAGAGCCTTCCCTCTGTGTGTGTGTGTGTGTGTGTGTGTGTGTAAATACATGTATGTGTGAGTGATGGCTGCTCTGAGGTGGTCACCTATGTCTTCCCTGTCAGCCCTAGCTTGTGTCACCAGCTGGTAAACTGTAGGCCAAGTGCCACAGAGTGGTGGAGGTGTGTAGCAGCTGTCAGAGAGAGGTGTTTACTCAGCGCAGAGACTGACACACGAGTGAAAGATATAAACAGTGCTGCAGACGTAAATGAAAAGTGACATTGTGAGGCTTTGCACTTAGCATGTTAATTGCAAAGCTGGTTGGAATATCTGTCTAGTGTGTAAGGAGGCATATAAAAAGGAAACAGTGTCTGAAACCTCACCGTTATACGTTGTTATTCTCTCAGTATCGGAGCTAGTTGAGTTGTAAATGGGAAATTGCGCCCAACATCAATCTGTCCGAGCACCAAACTTCAGAAATTCACTTCGTTTTTGTGAATATATTAACTACTGTATTACGCACTGCCCGTGTTTACCACAACTGTCTCATAATACAGGCCTTCATGAGGCTAACTGAAACACATTTAAAGAGTGAAATGAAAACAGTGTCGATGCGACTGGGGCTTGACGGTCGCTCATTTTCAACTGTTTGAGGCAGAAGCTCAGAGGAGAAAACAGCATGAGAGCTGTTTATTTTCCTTCTCAGCTACAGTAGACAGCAAGAAAAACACAAGACAGAAAGGGGTTAAACAATTTCCTCTGTTGGATGGAAACTTATTTTAAAGCAGTTTGCTGAGATTTGACTAAAATGATCATTCTTGATCTTGACTGACATGAAATGATCAACTAAATTTTTGTTGACTGAAGATTAAAATGTCCATAATTTTAGTTTTAGACTATAAAATAAAAACTGAAAAACCGCCAACAAAATGAACACTAGTGGGAGTGTTTAATAAGGAAGCCCTGAAAGACAAAATGTATCTTGCCAGGGTGAGTTTTTTTTTTCCATCTGTGAAAACAACCCCAGAGAGGCAAAAAAAATAATAGTTTTTTTTTTACTTGCCTTTCAGGGCTTCTGTACAAACCTACAAATGTATGTAGTAATTCAAGTTTTCCAGTATCACACTTAGTGGCAAACTGCAGGGCTGAAAAGTAAAGCCAACACTGAAGTGCAAAAAGAAACTGCAGTTCCACGAATGACCACTTGAGGCTGGCTCAAAAAGTGAGTCAATCCCCATAGACTTCCATGTTATAATGCCCCACTCTACAGCAGAGACAAACATGAAACAGTTTGGCTCTGTATATCTAATTTCCCCCTTCGCGACAACTCACCTCTTTAAATTTTTACTAAGGATTAAAGTTGTACAGAACTGAGGGCACGGTGGTTTGAGTGACAGTTGTGGGGACCCTGCTGTACTGTATGTTGTATCACGACAGTGAAAGAAATTAAAAAAATAATCTGGAGGTGGCAGAAATATTCAAATTGAAATGCAAAGTTAATAATACTGACAGGCACCAAAAGTTGTGTCATTTAAGTGCAGGGTGCAGCGAGCCGCTCCACAGTCCACAGGCAGCAGGAATCAGGAGTAACAGCCACAGGCTAACAAGCACCGAGTCATAAACCAGTCGGGGAATGCGGTCTAATCAGCATGCTTCGGCTGCAGTTCGGCTTGTTCGGGAAGTGTCGAGAACAGCGAGTGTGTATGAGAGCTGGCCTCAGCATCAGGTGAGATGAGCTTTGTACTCAGTGCCGAACGGTCTCAGCACAGAGTACAAACAACTACAGTAAACCCTGAGGGGGGGGGCATGTCTGTCAGTCACTTCCTGCAGTGTTTAAAGCAAGCTAAACTTTGCCACATAGTGCTGAACTGACTCCTGCTCGTGGATATCACCCCTGAACTGTGAGGAAGCAAGTTTGCAGTCCGCACACAAACAGCCGAAATAACAGCTGGTTTTCAGTCCATGTGTAACTCATGAAGCAACACGATCGATAACACGGGAAACAGCAAACACTCGGAGAAACCAAATCCTGCAAGGCTGGACTGAGGGTCAGGCTGGGCTGTGCCGGGGGGCAGCTGAGGGTGGTGACTGGTTTGCTGTGACATCACAAAGTTACGTTGCGTCGGCTCGTTTTAAGGCTCAGTTTCTGAATGTGGACCGTGTGCATTTCTCCGACTCTGCTGTTATTTAAGTATTTAAGAAGTACTTGGGAATTTAAATATTTGCAGTTGGTCACTGTACATACATCCAAATATCCCAGTCAGAGTCTAATTCTGTAGAAAGCACTGCACCGATTTCTCTGACGATTTTGTGGCACTATAACAATGTCAGTCTTCATCTTAAAATACTGTCGTTCCTATGGCCACATAAATCAAATGACTTGACGACCGATACCCTTAATGTCTTTTGTGAGGACGGTCTTGTTGAACCTCATTAGTCTCAGAATAAGTTTTCAACATTTTACAAATGTAAGGATAATTGTGGGTTAATAAAATCTGGATATTCGGAATCTATTTTTGTAATTTCAGCCATCTTTCCAATTCATCACAGCGGACTGTTGCTGTGATCTCTGAACAAGGCAACGCTACTAAAGAGAAGTTTGTTGAGACAACAATCATGAGCAGACAGACTATCAGACGGGTTGTAAATAAATCCAGATCTTAGTCAAACTTGTCTGGAGGAGAAAACAAAGGAGATCAGTCAAATTACAACCTGTACTGTCTGTTCAACATCAATCACCGTCAGAGACTGAATCTTCCATATTTGGCTTGTTACTACCTGTCTGATCATCTAACTGCTTTTGTTTCTTGCCCTTTCAGACTTCATTCAGACTTCAAACCAAAAACATAAAACACAGAGTCGTGATAAACAGGAACTCTCCTTTAGAAAATCTGTCCAGAAAAACCATTATATTGCTCTCTTGAACCATATTGCACATTTGGCCTCACCTCAGTCACTGATGTCAAGGCACATATTTTGCC